CCGCCTCCTCCACTACCACCGCCTCCTCCACTACCACCGCCTCCTCCACTACCACCAGCCTCCTCCACTACCACCAGCCTCCTCCACTACCACCAGCCTCCTCCACTGTACCAGCCTCCTCCACTACCACCAGCCTCCTCCACTGTCACCAGCCTCCTCCACTACCACCAGCCTCCTCCACTACCACCAGCCTCCTCCACTACCACCGGCCTCCTCCACTACCACCAGCCTCCTCCACTACCACCAGCCTCCTCCACTACCACCAGCCTCCTCCACTACCACAAGCCTCCTCCACTACCACCAGCCTCCTCCACTACCACCAGCCTCCTCCACTACCACCAGCCTCCTCCACTACCACCAGCCTCCTCCACTACCACCGGCCTCCTCCACTACCACACCGGCCCTCCTCCACTACCACCAGCCCTCCACTACCACCACCCCATACACCAGCCTCCTCCACTACCACCAGCCTCCTCCACTACCACCAGCCTCCTCCACTACCACCAGCCTCCTCCACTCACCACCTCCCATACCACCGCCTCCTCCACTTCCACCAGCCTCCTCCACTACCACCGGCCCTCCTCCATCCTACCACCGCGCCTCCTCCAACTACCACCACCCCTCCTCCACTACCACCAGCCTCCCTACACCACCAGCCTCCTCCACTACCACCAGCCTCCTCCACTACCACCAGCCTCCTCCTACCACCAGCCTCCTCCACACACCAGCCTCCTCCACTACCACCAGCCTCCTCCACTACCACCGGCCTCCTCCACTACCACCAGCCTCCTCCACTACCACCAGCCTCTCCACTACCACCAGCCTCCTCCACTACCACCGGCCTCCTCCACCCTACCACACCGCCCTCCTCCACTCCTACCACACCCCTCCTCCTCTACCACCAGCCTCCTCCACTACCACCAGCCTCCTCCACTACCATCCATACCAGCCTCCTCCACTACCACCAGCCTCCTCACACTACACCACCAGCCTCCTCCACTACCACCCGGCCTCCTCCACTACCACCGGCCTCCTCCACTACCACCAGCCTCCTCCACTACCACCTCCACCCCCTCCACTACCACCAGCCTCCTCCACTCACCAGCCTCCTCCACTACCACCGGCCTCCTCCACTACCACCAGCCTCCTCCAACACCACACCTCCTCCACTACCACCAGCCTCCTCCACTACCACCAGCCTCCTCCACTACCACCAGCCTCCTCCACTACCACCAGCCTCCTCCACTACCACCAGCCTCCTCCACTACCACCAGCCTCCTCCACTACCACCATCCTCCTCTCACTACCACCAGCCTCCTCCACTACCACCAGCCTCCTCCACTACCACCGGCCTCCTCCACTACCACCCCACCCTCCTCCACTACCACCAGCCTCCTCCACTACCACCAGCCTCCTCCACTACCACCAGCCTCCTCCACTACCACCATGCCAGCTCCTCCACTACCACCAGCCTCCTCCACTACCACCAGCCTCCCTCCACTACACCCACCAGCCTCCTCACACGTCACCCAGCCTCCTCCCACTACCACCAGCCTCCTCCACTACCACCAGCCTCCTCCACTACCACCAGCCTCCTCCACTACCACCGCCTCCTCCACTACCACCAGCCCTCCTCCACTACCACCAGCCTCCTCCACTACCACCAGCCTCCTCCACTACCACCAGCCTCCTCCACTACCACCGGCCTCCTCCACTACCACCAGCCTCCTCCACTCCACCTCACCACCAGCCTCCTCCACTACCACCAGCCTCCTCCACTACCACCAGCCTCCTCCACTACCACCAGCCTCCTCCACTACCACCAGCCTCCTCCACACTCCACCCCAGCCTCCTCCACTACCACCAGCCTCCTCCACTGTCACCAGCCTCCTCCACTACCACCAGCCTCCTCCACTACCACCAGCCTCCTCCACTACCACCAGCCTCCTCCACTACCACCGGCCTCCTCCACTACCACCAGCCTCCTCCACTACCACCAGCCTCCTCCACTACCACCAGCCTCCTCCACTGTCACCAGCCTCCTCCACTACCACCAGCCTCCTCCACTGTCACCAGCCTCCTCCACTACCACCAGCCTCCTCCACTACCACCAGCCTCCTCCACTACCACCGGCCTCCTCCACTACCACCGGCCTCCTCCACTACCACCACCCTCCTCCACTACCACCAGCCTCCTCCACTACCACAAGCCTCCTCCACTACCACCAGCCTCCTCCACTACCACCAGCCTCCTCCACTACCACCAGCCTCCTCCACTACCACCAGCCTCCTCCACTACCACCGGCCTCCTCCACTACCACCGGCCTCCTCCACTACCACCACCCTCCTCCACTACCACCAGCCTCCTCCACTACCACCAGCCTCCTCCACTACCACCAGCCTCCTCCACTACCACCAGCCTCCTCCACTACCACCAGCCTCCTCCACTACCACCAGCCTCCTCCACTACCACCGGCCTCCTCCACTACCACCGGCCTCCTCCACTACCACCACCCTCCTCCACTACCACCAGCCTCCACTACCACCAGCCTCCTCCACTACCACCAGCCTCCTCCACTACCACCAGCCTCCTCCACTACCACCAGCCTCCTCCACTACCACCAGCCTCCTCCACTACCACCGGCCTCCTCCACTACCACCAGCCTCCTCCACTACCACCAGCCTCCTCCACTACCACCAGCCTCCTCCACTACCACCGGCCTCCTCCACTACCACCGGCCTCCTCCACTACCACCACCCTCCTCCACTACCACCAGCCTCCTCCACTACCACCAGCCTCCTCCACTAACCACCAGCCTCCTCCACTACCACCAGCCTCCTCCACTACCACCAGCCTCCTCCACTACCACCGGCCTCCTCCACTACCACCGGCCTCCTCCACTACCACCAGCCTCCTCCACTACCACCAGCCTCCTCCACTACCACCAGCCTCCTCCACTACCACCAGCCTCCTCCACTACCACCGGCCTCCTCCACTACCACCAGCCTCCTCCACTACCACCATCCTCCTCCACTACCACCAGCCTCCTCCACTACCACCAGCCTCCTCCACTACCACCAGCCTCCTCCACTACCACCAGCCTCCTCCACTACCACCGGCCTCCTCCACTACCACCAGCCTCCTCCACTACCACCATCCTCCTCCACTACCACCAGCCTCCTCCACTACCACCAGCCTCCTCCACTACCACCGGCCTCCTCCACTACCACCAGCCTCCTCCACTACCACCAGCCTCCTCCACTACCACCAGCCTCCTCCACTACCACCAGCCTCCTCCACTACCACCAGCCTCCTCCACTACCACCAGCCTCCTCCACTACCACCAGCCTCCTCCACTACCACCATCCTCCTCCACTACCACCGGCCTCCTCCACTACCACCGGCCTCCTCCACTACCACCAGCCTCCTCCACTACCACCAGCCTCCTCCACTACCACCGGCCTCCTCCACTACCACCAGCCTCCTCCACTACCACCATCCTCCTCCACTACCACCAGCCTCCTCCACTACCACCAGCCTCCTCCACTACCACCAGCCTCCTCCACTACCACCAGCCTCCTCCACTACCACCAGCCTCCTCCACTACCACCAGCCTCCTCCACTACCACCAGCCTCCTCCACTACCACCAGCCTCCTCCACTACCACCATCCTCCTCCACTACCACCAGCCTCCTCCACTACCACCAGCCTCCTCCACTACCACCGGCCTCCTCCACTACCACCAGCCTCCTCCACTACCACCAGCCTCCTCCACTACCACCAGCCTCCTCCTGACTGCAACATTCACTTCTATATAACAGTGTTGTTACCACTGTGAAGGACAGTCAGTACCGTGACTGGAACAATACATAAATACCCATCACACAGGAAACTGATGCTTGACTTAAGAAATCGTAATGACACGATTGCAAATAAACCATACCCCCGGCCGGGATTGAACCCGCGGTCATAGTCTCAAAACTCCAGCCCGTCGCGTTAGCCACTAGACCAGCTAGCCACAATAAGATTCATCCAACTAGGTATATTTCTACACTCTATGACCGCGGGTTCAATCCCGGCCGGGGTATGGTTTATTTGCAATTGTGTTATTACGATTTCTTAAGTCATGTTGACGGCAGTGAAGGGACTTGAGCTAGAGTTCGTCACGGCCACGCTAGCTGGAGATTCGTCTGTAAAAACTTGCATTTGTGGTCACAGAGGTGCCTGTGCTAACTTTCCTATGGTGTAGAAATATACCTAGTTGGATGAATCTTATTGTGGCTAGCTGGTCTAGTGGCTAACGCGACGGGCTGGAGTTTTGAGACTCTATGACCGCGGGTTCTATCCCCGCCGGGGGTATGGTTTAACTGATGCTTGTGATGTTTCACACCCACTTGGACGAAAACATCGCTGTACATTTCTCCCATATGCAGGTTATTGGTGTAATTTTAGCACTGTACTGTGCTACATTTCACCTCATTTTTCCCTTGATGGGTAAATTCCTCCCCACAGATGTCTCAACACACATTGTTACCTTCGTCTGGTGTGTGCTTCACCATCCACTCACATCCACTACTTAATATCCAAACTTGTATACTCCATCCCTCCATACTCCCTAAATACTCCCTCCCTCCCATACTCCCTCACTTCCTCCATCTTTCTCCCTCACTTCCTCCATCTTTCTCCCTCCCATACTCCCTCACTTCCTCCATCCTCCCTCCCTCCCATACTCCCTCACTTCATCCATCTTTCTCCCTCCCATACTCCCTCACTTCCTCCATCCTCCCTCCCTCCCATACTCCCTCACTTCCTCCATCTTTCCTCCCTCCCATACTCCCTCACTTCCTCCATCCTCCCTCCCTCCATACTCCCTCACTTCCTCCATCTTTCCTCCCTCCCATACTCCCTCACTTCCTCCATCTTCCCTCCCTCCATACTCCTTCCCTCCATCCTGATATTTTATCAATTTTATTAATATATGTAAATGTTTTCTGCCACAGGAGAACCTCAACACCCTGGGAGATGAGATTGCTAAGATATCCCGCCAGAACCAGGAGCTGGAGTCTCATAAATAACAAGACCAGGAGCTGGAAGTCCCATAAGTGATGTATGGGGAGTGGAGAGTCATTGTAGACTTATCTCTATGGTGAAGCTGTAAACCCATAAGGGTGGTGTAGCACCTAGGTCATGGGGGAGGTTAATCACGTTTGATCCATAGTAAGGGCTACATGGCTCCATTTCCTTGGATCAAGGGGCCTCCACCAGCATGACTGCCTTGTGACATGGTGGTGACAGGCACCTTGGCACCTTGGTCAAGGGCTCTTGATCCAGTGAATGGGAGCTTCCCCCTCCATTCCCTTATGCCACATCAAATTGCTATCCCCATTCACCAGGGACTGTACAACTCATACAGGTTTAGCGCTTCCCCTATGACGTGGGTCCGTGCACAAGATTCACGAATACATGATAGGCCTAAAATAATGTCCTCAGTCAATATTATATAAATATATTTATAACATATTACAGTTTTTTAAGCCTTCTACAAGTATAATTACCAGTGACTAAGTGAATGATGGTGGAACTGTTTCTTCTGTTTGGGTAGGAGACAGTCACTGGGTTAAATTGCAACAATGGACTCTTATGATTTTCTTGTGTGAGTGATCTGAGTGGAGGAGAGTGGGTTTTAAGGATTCCATGTGCTGTTAGAGTGTGAGTGAGGCTGTGTTTGTGTGAAGGATGAGTGAGGATGTTACAGTCCTGGAGGTGGGAAGTACAGTACCTGTACTCTGAAGGATGAGTGAGGATGTTACAGTTCTGGAGGTGGGAAGTACAGTACCTGTACTCTGAAGGATGAGTGAGGATGTTACAGTCCTGGAGGTGGGAAGTACAGTACCTGCACTCTGAAGGATGAGTGAGGATGTTACAGTCCTGGAGGTGGGAAGTACAGTACCTGTAATCTGAAGGATGAGTGAGGATGTTACAGTGCTGGAGGTGGGAAGTACAGTACCTGTACTCTGAAGGATGAGTGAGGATGTTACAGTCCTGGAGGTGGGAAGGACAGTACCTGTACTCTGAAGGATGAGTGAGGATGTTACAGTCCTGGAGGTGGGAAGTACAGTACCTGTAATCTGAAGGATGAGTGAGGATGTTACAGTGCTGGAGGTGGGAAGTACAGTACCTGTACTCTGAAGGATGAGTGAGAATGTTACAGTCGTGGAGGTGGGAAGTACAGTACCTGTACTCTGAAGGATGAGTGAGGATGTTACAGTCGTGGAGGTGGGAAGTACAGTACCTGTACTCTGAAGGATGTGTGAGGATGTTACAGTCCTGGAGGTGGGAAGTACAGTACCTGCACTCTGAAGGATGAGTGAGGATGTTACAGTCCTGGAGGTGGGAAGTACAGTACCTGTACTCTGAAGGATGAGTGAGGATGTTACAGTACTGGAGGTGGGAAGTACAGTACCTGTACTCTGAAGGATGAGTGAGGATGTTACAGTGCTGGAGGTGGGAAGTACAGTACCTGTACTCTGAAGGATGAGTGAGAATGTTACAGTCGTGGAGGTGGGAAGTACAGTACCTGTACTCTGAAGGATGAGTGAGGATGTTACAGTCGTGGAGGTGGGAAGTACAGTACCTGTACTCTGAAGGATGTGTGAGGATGTTACAGTCCTGGAGGTGGGAAGTACAGTACCTGCACTCTGAAGGATGAGTGAGGATGTTACAGTCCTGGAGGTGGGAAGTACAGTACCTGTACTCTGAAGGATGAGTGAGGATGTTACAGTACTGGAGGTGGGAAGTACAGTACCTGTACTCTGAAGGATGAGTGAGGATGTTACAGTCCTGGAGGTGGGAAGTACAGTACCTGTACTCTGAAGGATGAGTGAGGATGTTAGAGCACAGAGAGTCGTCTTAAATACGTCGACACACTTCTGGCAAACACAGCTATTGAACGAATGACGGTAAATGTAATTCTTCTTGTTTCCAAGTCACTGCCGCTGCAAGAGACAGACAACATGTTAAGAAAACCGGCAGTTCAGAGCTACACATCATCACTCAGGAAACGTACTCAAGTAAGATAAGATTTTGTTCGGATTTTTAACCCCGGAGGGTTAGCCACCCAGGATAACCCAGGAAAGTCAGTGCGTCATCGAGGACTGTCTAACTTATTTCCATTGGGGTCCTTAATCTTGTCCCCCAAGATGCCACCCACACCAGTCGACTAACACCCAGGTACCTATTTGCTGCTAGGTGAACAGGACAACAGGTTTAAGGAAACGTGTCGAAATGTTTCCACCCGCCGGGAATCGAACCCGGGTCCTCCGTGTGTGAAGTGAGAGCTTTAGCCACCAGGCCACCGGGCTGGTGGCTCAAGGGAGGTTCCTTGATGCTAGTGACGGGCTCTTGATCTAGGGAATTGGATGTGTGCTTCAGTTCCCTCGATTAACCCTGAATACCTTCCACCCCACACAGGCACTCTATAATCCTACAGGTTTAGTGCTTCCCCCTTAATTATAATAATCAGCAATTGAATGAATAATGGTAAATGTGTTTTTTTCTATTTAATTCACCTTAATAGAGATTGTCAGGGTAAAAGATGCCTTTTATGACCCCAAAATTATACAACTTATGATGGTTCAATTTACAGAGCTCTGATTTATGATGGTTCAATTTACAGAGCTCTGATTTACGATGGTTCAATTTACAGAGCTCTGATTTACAACGGTTCAATTTACAGAGCTCTGATTTATGATGGTTCAATTTACAGAGCTCTGATTTACGATGGTTCAATTTACAGAGCTCTGATTTACGATGGTTCAATTTACAGAGCTCTGATTTACAACGGTTCAATTTATAGAGCTCTGATTTACAACGGTTCAATTTACAGAGCTCTGATTTATGATGGTTCAATTTACAGAGCTCTGATTTATGATGGTTCAATTTAGAGCTCTGGTTTACAACGGTTCAATATACAGAGCTCTGATTCACAACGGTTCAATTTACAGAGCTCTGATTCACAACGGTTCAATTTACAGAGCTCTGATTTACGACGGTTCAATTTACAGAGCTCTGATTTACGACGGTTCAATTTACAGAGCTGATTTACAACAGTGCCCCCCTCAAGGGAGGTTCCTTGATGCTGGTGAGGGGCTCTTGATCTAGGGAATTGGATCTGTGCTCCAGTTCCCTTGATTAACCCTGAATGCCTTCCACCCCGCCCCCTACAGGCGCTCTATAATCTTACGAGTTTAGCGCTCCCCATGAGTATAATAATTACAAGGGGCCAATTTACAGAGCTCTGATTTACAACGGTTCAATTTACAGAGCTCTGATTTACAACGGTTCAATTTACAGAGCTCTGATTTACAACGGTTCAATTTAGAGCTCTGGTTTACGACGGAATAATTTACAGAGCTGATTTACTGTGTATCCAGCATACAGTGATCCACACTTCTCTTGTTCCAAGGAAATGGATCAATCCTTCCATCACTTCATGATCGCCTCCCATTACCTTTATACTTACATGACCCCTTCGGGTTTAGCATAGAGTGAAACATGATAAAGCTCTACGCACAGAAATATAAAGCTCTATGCAGTGAAACATAAAGCTCTACAAGAGAAAAACAAAGCTCTACACAGAGAAACAAAGCTCTACACAGTAACAGCACTGTAACACCCTGTGTAACACCCTGTCTAAAACGTTCTGTGTATCAACACCCTGTGTAACACCCTGTCTAAAACATTCTGTGTATCAACACTCTGTGTAACACCCTGTCTGAAACATTCTGTGTATCAACACTCTGTGTAACACCCTGTCTAAAACGTCCTGTGTATCAACACTGTGTAACACCCTGTCTAAAACGTCCTGTGTATCAACACTCTGTGTAACACCCTGTCTAAAACGTCCTGTGTATCAACACCCTGTGTAACACCCTGTCTAAAACGTCCTGTGTATCAACACCCTGTGTAACACCCTGTCTAAAACGTCCTGTGTATCAACACCCTGTGTAACACCCTGTCTAAAACGTCCTGTGTATCAACACTCTGTGTAACACCCTGTCTAAAACGTCCTGTGTATCAACACTCTGTGTAACACCCTGTCTAAAACGTCCTGTGTATCAACACTCTGTGTAACACCCTGTCTAAAACGTCCTGTGTATCAACACCCTGTGTAACACCCTGTCTAAAACATCCCGTGTATCAACACTCTGTGTAACACCCTGTCTAAAACGTCCTGTGTATCAACACCCTGTGTAACACCCTGTCTAAAAACATCCCGTGTATCAACACCCTGTGTAACACCCTGTCTAAAAACATTCTGTGTATCAACACCCTGTGTAACACCCTGTCTAAAAACATCCCGTGTATCAACACCCTGTGTTGTGATGTAGTTAAACTGGGCTTGTGAGGTCTCTGGGGAGACCTAATTTAACCAATTATATGGTCACCTTGCCTTGGCAAACGTCTGTCAGCCTTTTGGGCTTAAGACTGAGGTCTTTCGTTCTGGACGGCGCCCCCTCAAGGAAGGTTCCTTGATGTTGGTGACGGGATCTTGATTTAGGGAATTGGATCTGTGCTCCAGTTCCCCAAATTAAGCCTGAATGCCTTCCACATCCCCCCCAGGCGCTGTATAATCCTCCGGGTTTAGCGCTTCCCCTTGAATATAATAATAATAATCTGGACGGCGTCAGACCTCGGCGTCAGATCAACACCACGTGTGCACACCTCATTGTGGGGGGTGCTTGGACCACCATATAAGCCCAAGGAAAAGCATGATCGGGCATTGATCATCGACGACCTTGTCAAGACACAGTCGTTCCTCACCTCAAGAAGTGCAAGATTTGCACATGTGTCTTAATTTATCAACATGTCGGTTCTCTGAACCATTCATCTACAATCCTGTCAGACACTGCAACTTCTTGGGATCTTAATACTTGGGAATTCTTCGCTTGCCTAATTCTTGGGCACGACCTACTTCCACAATGAACAAATGTGACACCACCTATGACTGCTGCACCTTTCCTGCCAACGGTTTATAAGCTCCTTCTCAGCTCATATGCCGTATTCTATTCTAGATTGATGGACTGAACACATCGACTCAAGGTTGAGGGACTGATTACCTCATTCTCCTCCTGTTCTTCAAGTTTCTCCTACGTATGGACTGATGAAGCCACTGTGTGGCGAAACGTTTCATCAATAAAGTTCCCCAAGATTTGCACATGTGTCTAATTTAAACTTGCCCTTGGTGCCGCTGTAAAGACTTTCCTACAGGTTAAATTTACAGCGATCCACTCGACGAAAGACTCATTCATCGTCGTCTGTACTGACCGTTATGAAGCCTCAAAGCTGATCGCCGACACTTCTATGAAAACCCTCAGAGACCGACAGTTCACCATCTCCCCTTCACCTTTTATGCTGGCGAAACGTTCCGTTTTCGTCAAACGGCTGGACAAACTCGTCACTTCTTTATCGACTGAGGATCTCAAGACCTCTATCGAGGAACAAAATACCTGGGCGTCGACT